ATTTTGTGGTTTTAAGCTATGCAGATAATTTTTTTTTATAGTGTAGCAAATAAATATTGCAAACAAGATAAGATTGCTGGTTCAAATTCAGTGCTTCAAAATACTGAAAAAAGGGGAATTAATTTCCAGAAAATCAATTATGGTACTAGTGTGCAACTCAGGTGTCTCCTGGTTTCACAGCTCCTGCTCAGAGAGCTGGAAACTGTGGCCAGGAGAGCCTTTGAACAAATATATCTTGTAAATAATTGGTACCCTTTCCTAAATCAGGAGGCACTTACACTGTCACTCATCCTTTAGCCAACTCCCGATGGAACTATTGCAATGCCATTCTAGGTAGGGTTGCCTTTGAAGAGTATTTATAACCTGGTCTGTAATGCAGACACATGGGGAGTAGCAGGTTCACTGCAAATACCCATGTGACATTATGATTGCATGAGCTGCACTAATTCCCAGAAACCTTATGGGTACAGTTCCAGGTGCAGCTTTTCACCTTCAAAGCCCTACAAACATAAGCTAGGTTATTTGAAGAACTGTCTATCCCTGATGGTTTCTACCAATCCACTAGCTCTGGCAAGGTGGATATATTGTGGGCGCCCTTGGTGAAATAGCATCACCTGGCCAGATCTTGTAAATATGCTGCCAAATACTGGATGTTGATAGAAGTGGCATGTTGTGGTTGCTTAAGTGGGTGCAAATTTTATTGGGACTTCAGTGTTTTTGTTTGTTTTTCAAATGTACCTTTGTTCTACTTATATTTTATTTGTTGTTTTGTCCTTCCGGTAGATAGGTAGTTGTTTAACTAACAAATAACAAAATAAATAATTATCCAAGCAGAAATGGAAGCCCTTTCAGAGGATGCATTCAAGTGGAGGCTAGACAGCTATTTGCTGAGAATATCTCAATTTGGATTCCTGTATGTAACAGCGGGACTGAATCCCATGACCTAAATGGTTCATCCCAGTTCTATTATTCTGCTGCTCTAAAGCAAATATAAGATTATTGCAAAAAAGTATGATTTCCTGTTCAAGAAATATGAAATGACATATATGATGGGTAAGATGACCCAGAATTCAGACACAATTGTGTGGAATTTCCGATATCAGATAGTATACATTATTTGGGCTACAGATTTATCCCCAGGATTTCATGTAATTGAATTTATATTATAATCCCTTCTAATTTATTCTCAAGTGCACATTTACTGACAAATACATCTCTAATGCTTCCATGTCATCACTGTTATCTTGGTACATGAAGGGCCACTTGGCATTGATGTTACTATATTACCTTTCTCTTCATAAATCATTTCTGCTGTATGACAGCCATTTGCGATTTCCAAATGTTTTGGAGGCTGCTTGACTATCTTAATTGAATATTCTAATTTATTGCTAATACAGCTATATATATATAGATAGATAGATAACATGTAAGAATATATATGTTGCTAGATTAGATAGCTCAGCTTAGCTCAAGAACCTGTTTTCAACAACTGACATAAGATGTTTGTGTAACACTTACATACTAAATGAATGCAAACTCTCTCTATATTCAATATTCCCAACAGACTGTTATAGCATTTTCCATATTAATTATATATGCCATGAATTTTTTAAATATATGAATGGAATAAGTATAGCTCCATATCTGTTCTTAAAATGCATTGAGGCATTTTAAGGAGCAAAGCCTTGGAGTTTAAGACATTATTTAATGCCTTAGAATTTTTTAAATCATAAGAATAAAATTAAACAGCTTCAGATTATTATATAGTATTTAAGATTTCAGGAATATACCTTTAAAAGGAGAACATGTATGTGTAAATTAGAAATTAGGGCACATTTATGGTTTCAGATTCATCAAATTCTTCATTTTATAGCAATCCCAGGCTTTAGAATACAAGCGACTAGAAATATGACTAAGTTTGAAATTAGGTTACATTCATTATTTGGTAAGGAGGAAGACAAAATTTGAAACATTTTTAACATTTTATTTGAAGATAGGACAAACTTCTTGAATGGGTTAAAAGCAATGTAGGAATCCAAGAAAAAGTTTCCTTACTTACAATTTTGTGATTTTTAATTGTCATAAAGAACCACTATACTCATCTCAAATAAAATTAGTAAAAATTTAGTGAAAGTTATTTTATGCCAAGGAAATTAATATGATAAATTCTGATAAAAACCCCACTTATCGTTATTTGTTTGTATCTCAGTTGGTGCACAATCTACAACCCCAGAATTTCATGTAATAAGCCTTGTGAACATTGCTATACTCCAAACCTTGCTGCCAAATCAAAACTAAAGGGGAATTGATCACATTAGCTATTAAAGGGAAATTATCAAGTTAACTATTAAATGTTGTTTCTGTCCTTCCCATCCATGAGTTGAAGCCAGAAAGATAGCCCATACTTTATATCAATATCGGAAATTTGCTTATATATGTATTACTTGGATTAGCTACTGAGTTATATCATATCCTTATATTTTTGCTGGAGGTGTAAAGAAAACAGGAGGAGGTAGAAGTATTAGATATGTTCATCACTTTGAATAATTTATAAAAATAATAAAAGCAGGATAAAGAAATATACTAAAAAACCCTAAAATAAATTATTCCCAGTTACCAAATGTTTGTGTTCCTTTTGCACCAGATCTGGAACAAATATAAAAGTATACCACCAACATAGGCATGGTTGAAGTCTGAAATAGGAAATGTACAGCCAGTTTGGTCTAGTGCAGTGATGGCTAACCTTTTTGTCATCACATGCTGAAAGCGCTTGCCCATGCCTGCACCAATAATACAATTTGTGTGTGATAGCCCTGCCCCCCCCCACATGCATGTGCAACCCCCCTGTGCTCCATTGCACCCCACCCCCATTTTTTGCTTCCAGGTTGGTGCAGGAGGCCTTTCAGGCCCAAAACAGGGTGTGAGGGGTGACCCCGCCACCCCATTTGGGGCTTGGAAAGCCTCCAGCACCAACTTGAAAGCCAAAACAGGGCACAGGGGCGCTGCACGAAGTCTGAAAATGCAATGTGAGTGCCCCCTGTGCATGCGCTCTGCCCTCTTTGCATGCACATGTGTGTGCCCCACATGAGCCTCGTCCCCTTCACATGCACGGCAGAGACACGAAGATCAGCTGGCCAGCGGGAGGGGAAGCATGCACAGTGAAGCTGGGTCAGGGCGACGGCTGGTATGCCTGTAGAGAGGGCTCTGTGTGCCACCTTTGGCATGTGTGTCATTGGTTCACCATCACAAGGTATCAGGCTAGAAAGCAAAAAAATCATGAGTTTTATGTCCTGTCTTGGCCCTGAAAGTCAGCTGAGTGATCTTTGTCCAGTCCAGGGGTAGTCAACCTTTTTATACCTACCACCCATTTTTGTATCTCTGTTAGTAGTACAATTTTCTAACCACCTACCGGTTCCACATTAATGGTGATTTATAAAGTAGGGCAGTAACTTTTCTTTATAAAAGTTATAAAGCAGAGTTACAGCAAACCCCTACCGCCCACCATGAAAGTTGGAATGCCCACTAGTGGGCAGTAGAGACCAGGTTGACTACCACTGGTCCAATCACTCTCTCAGCTCAATTCACCTCAGAGGGTTGTTTTTCGGAAAATAGGAGGAAGGTGTTTTAGATATGTTTGCTGTCTTGAGTTATTTCTAAAAATAATAAAGGCAGGATATAAATAAATAAATGTATTGAGCACAGTTAACAGAGATGTAGTTCTGATTCTATTGACTGGTTTCATCAAGCAGCATTGCTCATCTATTTCCACTAGAACAGTAGAATTGTTGATGGGTGTTTCTACCCATCTGCACTTCCCAAGGCCCTCACCATTACCATCCCTTATAATGCTCATTACGGCCTGACTTGTGGGAAGAACAAACCCAAGTATCCAGCAGTGGATTCTACCTAATAATCTTGTTTTCACAAGAACAAAAAAGGCTGCCAAGCACAATGGTGAAATGCCGCAATTTCCCTTTAATTGGTGACAGGATGGGAGAGATAACCAATGGATTTAAACAATCTGGTAGAACTGTGGCAATGTACTTGTGTATTTGGCTCCAGCAGTGCACACAAGTGCCAAGGAGAAGTTGCTTCATTGCATTTCAGTGCCAATACAGGAAATATTTTCCCTTTGCTTGCACCACTAGGAAAATGAAAACTACCTGACTGGCTCAGATTAATCTGTGTCTTAGCTATGGTTGGGAAGACCCAGGATTTAAGAGCCTAAGTTGGCATCTCCAATTCTACCAAACTTACAGCCATCCAACTGACACATACTATACATGAAATATGTTAATTTGGAATTCTTCTAGTTAATTTTCAGTAGCGGGCAATTTTATCATCTCAGAGTGCAACAAAGTTATGTGGAATGTTTGGATCCAGAAAAGTAATTTGTCACTGGGTTCTAACTTTAATAATTGGGCTTAAATTTGATTTTGTAAGCCATCTTAAAAAAGGGAACGGCATGATTCTCTCTGCTTGACCTTATTCCACATCACTATCTACACCACCTTTCCATTTTCTCGGTTCCCTACATGCACTGGAGGTACCGTAATCCACAGCAGCCGGGCACAGCTGGCATGACCCCTGTTGAGGAGGGGAACGGGCACGAGTCTAGCCTCCCAAGAGACCGCCCTCTCTTCTAAACCTCCTCTTCAGACGCTCCACGGCGAAGGCTTTGGACATGAGCCACAGCTCCCAGCGGCAGCGTCTCATTGCCGTCCCGGTCCGCTGCCTCTACAGCCCAAGGTGCCCGCCCGTCTGCGCACCAGTGGGGGCGAGGCTCGCGCTCTCTTCCCCACCCCACGGCTTGCTTCCCAATTCAAGAGGGAGCAGCGACCTCTCCCCTTCCGCGTCCACACCTGGCGGTGCCTCGCCCGTCCCAGGACAGGTTCCTATGGTGAGAAGGAGGAGCAGAAGCCGCGATTGGGGGCCGCCGGCGCCTCCCGTCTGGCCAGGCGGCGGCGGCGGCGGCGGCGACGACGACAGGAGGAGGAGGAGCTGCGCCGGCGGAGCGGAACTGGAGCGGCTGCCCGCGAACATGGCGGCGGCGGCGGAGCAGCAGCTTTCGGAAGCCTCTGCCGTCGTCGCCCCTCTCCCGCTCAGCGGCGGTGGCGGCGGTGGCGGCGGCTCTGGGTCTGTGCCGGTGCCGGTGCTCTTTTGCTTCTCGGTCTTCGCCAGGCCTTCGACGGTGCCACACGGCTCCGGCTACGAGATGCTAATTCAGAAGTTCTTGAGCCTTTACGGCGACCAGCTCGACATGCACCGCAAGTTTGTGGTGCAGCTCTTTTCCGAGGAGTGGAGCCAATACATCGACCTGCCCAAGGGCTTCCTGGTGAATGAGCGGTGCAAACTGCGCCTCGTGCCCCTGCAGATACAGGTGGGTGACGGTGAAAAAGAGCAAGGACGCGCGCGCGTGTATGTGGGAATGCAAGAACAGCGCCGCCTGGATCATTGAAGCGAAGGCCCTCTTGGCATCCGGCGTCCAGTGTGAGCCTTCCACACCCACGTGGCGCTGGGGGAAAAAGGTGAAATCCGCTGGGCGACAGTGAAATGGTCATAGCCAGCCTCCGCACCTTCTGCAAGTCAGTTTTGGTTCCCTTAACAAAATGGCTACATATGTTAGATTGCACCAACACCCTGAACTATTAAATAGTCAATCAATTTGTCCTAGTGTATTGAACAAGGCTTCCACCTTGGCTTCTAACATCGGTTGTGTATCCTGAGAATGGGAACTATCTGTAATATATGCATGTTGTGTGAACACGGGTGACGTGAAGTAAAACATGGTTTTGGTCTTGGGTATTTTAAAATCAAATGTTTCCGGCTTGTAACACAGGTTTAGATTTGTCCACACATTGGTTATTCAATGTGTTATTCAACACATTGGTTAAACCCAATTCATTGGCTGCCAGTACTAAAAGAATGACAAATGTTTATAATGATTCAGAGAGCTCATTCCCGCTGTGTGTGTGAGAGATCAACAATAACAGTTGGAAGAGGCCTTGGAGGTGTTCTAATACAACCCTCTAACTTTTACATAGAATATAACCTCTGTAGCAAAGGCTCCACTTTTTGCTAGTTTATTGCTGAATAACCATTCTGTGCTGGGTGAAGAGGATGGTGGAGGTCAGTGCAGGACCAAGCAATGGTTTTCTATGCTATCGGGGGCATTTCTTGGTTGGCTGTGGGAATGATCAGAAACTTGCCTTGCAGTCCGTTCAATGGGACGATTTAAGCTCGCTGTTCCCACTCTCCATATCCTAGCATTACCTCCCGCTCCAGGAATTTTCAGCCTCCTTTGCTTTGCGACCTCATTTTCATCTCATTTTCCTTCTTTCTCTCTTGGCACACACCACCATCCCCAGAACAGATTCTTTGTCTTTCCTGCTCCTCTTTCCTTAGTTGCATCTTCCCTCAACCCTTGTTCTCAGTGCTTTCAGGAGAACTCCATCACTTATCTCCAATAACAGCAGCTGCAGTTAACCCTTGGAAACTTCTGCACTGGATTAGGCAGTGCTGTGCTCTCTAGCCAGTGTGGAGGTAAAGGGAGTGGAGTAGGCAAAGGAGAAGATATGTGCGTGATCCAGGATGGGAGTGAGGCAGGCAGCAGAGAAGAATCCCACTCCCTGCTTAGGAAACCTAATCACCACTATGTTAAGGTTGGCATCTCTACTGACTCCTTGTCGGGAATATTCAGAAAGTGGAACATTGTGTTTAATAATCAGTTAACTTCCTTCAGTTTTAATGGTAGCTGGAAAATACCAATAGACAAAATTGGATAAAGCTTGAGTATTCCCAGATCACACTTTAGTGACAGTTATAAACTGTGGAGGGAATGATAGTTTGCCATAGAAGGTGATCTTAGCTGAAGTGTCTTGTGAATAGCATTTCATAACTCTGAACATCTAGATTAAACCACATGAATTGGTCCCACTGATTTTATTGGGCTTGTTTCTTAGTTCTGCTATTGATCTCAGCTGATTACAGGAGGCTACTGGAAAGCCTTTAAAGAAATTGTCAGTCTTATTAGCCTAAAACTGTTCTGCCGGGTAGTCATAATCCAGCAATCTTGGTTGCTGGTTGTTGTCATTAACTGAATCTCTAAAGTTGTTAGGCAGGCAACTTCCTGCCAGCTTCCCACAAGCAAATCAGTGCGGAAGCTGACAAAATGTTACAAGTCTCAGGCCCTCAGGCAGGTAGGTGGCTGCTGGGGAAGGATCAAGGGTGTGTGGGAAGGGTATATGAAAGGCATGGCATGAGGGTATGTGAGTGTGCAAGGGAAGGTTGCAGGAACTGGGTATGTCTAGTTTAATAGAAAGAAGGACGGGGAGACATGATA